ACTACCAAATTTTGCTATATGTTTGATTGCATCATATAATAATTGTTGTTAATAGTGTTCATCGTCTGTTTGATTACGTCTTTAATTGATTTTTCCGTACATTTCTGCCATATGTACATTAACTGACAGTCGCCACTGATATGCTACCACTAAATATTGTAGAAACCTAATTTGCTGTAAAGTTGCTTTGCAACGATTTGTATCGTGAAAAGCGCTATACAAATAAACTTGAATTGAATTGAATCAGGCGGAAAGATGATTTGGATGCTTTGCATAAATGATGAAAGACAAATGTCTCTATTTCAAAGTTAAGACTACTCTTAATCGTGTCATATTCATCCATCTCGCTCCCTCTCTCTTCTCCTTTATAATCTTTTTCATTCTAATCTTCTCCTTCAGTTTCACCATTTTTTCACCTTCCCTATAGATTTAGGATTTTACTAATCTTCCCCTTGCTCCCTTCTTTCCTTTACCTTTCATTTAAGCTCTGGAAGGCATCTCTGTAACCTCTTCTATCCTTCTCTCTCCTCACAAATTTCTTCATTCTCCTACAGCAGGCTCACAGATTTCTTTCTTTCTTTTACCTTTTCTTGCCCTCCTGATCTCTGTGTCTCCAATCCAGTCGACTTTTGCGGTACAAAAGGTTCATGTCGCCACAGGAACGCTCCTCCTCACAGCCAATAACAGCGCAGTGCAGCCACTGGCCCCGCCTCTCTATGTCACGCAGGAAATTCTCCACCGCCACATCCTGGGCGGAGCCAGAGCTCATGGTATAGAGGACCAATTAGGAGCAGGGGGAGGGATTTTAACGCTTTCCCCCGTCCCTGTTATCTGTAAAAGAGCAAAATGCAGGCACTTGGTTAGTAGTTTGCATTTTCAAAAGTATGCAAATTCATTCCATTCTTTCTGATAACATAAAATCCCAACCGTCCAAACTGAACTGAAACAATTAACACAGCACAGACGCTTCATGAAAGTGCTTTACTCAGCATTCTCTACACCTATACTCTGCATTCCCTAGTGCTGTTCATGTTGTTCTTTTTTAATGTGGAAAAGGGAAGACAGTTTGGACTAATTGTCCATAATAGAGGCTCAAATGCACAAGTCCCTTCTCCCCCTGGACATAAGCGGTTTATATTCCCCTATGATCATAAGTGGGATTGCAAGCACATTTCCATAAAAATTTCATTAGGACCTTCATTTTTACGCTCTATACAAGGTTCAGTTTTTCCAATGACATTTCTAGTTGTTTGTGATTACTAGACTAAATGAATTAAAATGTAAAAATGATTGCGATTTGTTACTAAAAATACTGAAAATAATTTTTGTTAATTGAAGTAAAGCTGAAATAAAAAAAGAAATATTATATAACTTATTAAACAAAAAGAAATATTATGAAATAAAAAAAACTTTAGAAAATTAGAAATGCTGCCTTGGCAATTAACTGAAAAATGAGTTCAAGTACTAAAATTACAAAAACTGAATTAAAAAAGCTAAACAGAAATATAAAAAAAACTAAAAATAACAAAAGCACATGTCAAAATTACTACAACTTGAACTAAAATTAAAATAAAAACTGAATGTCAAAATAATAAATACCATAACAAAATATAGTACTAAAATAACACTTTTATTCTCTCACAAATAAGACTTCTATACTACACAAACCAAGTCTGTAAAAATGACAGATGAATCTGTGCCAAAATACAATGAATTTTCACATTCGTATATCACAATATATGATTGTTTGCATTTCTGATTGTTTTTTTTTTTTCTTTTACAACAGGTCTGCAACCCACATAGGGGAAACACTGTTATATTCTCTTTTTATTTGTAAATAATTTTTCACACTTTCACTTTCAGATCTGTCTTGCACATTTACACATCACACGTGTGATATAAAAGGAGAGAAAACCTTAAGTTGTGACCTGAAATCATCACCACTGCACTTTCAATTTCATCTTCATCATAGTAGCCTGCAAAGGGCATCTACCATCTCTCTCTCTCTTTCAGAGGAAGATCTGAGTAAGTGTGAGTGGCTCAGTTGGCTGCAGGCCCCCGGGCTGGCCCGGCTGTGCCTGTATAAATCTGCAGTCTGTAATGCAGCCTGTCACATATAGTACACAGGCATTCTGGCAGGAGAGAGAACAAGCTAGCCAGAGAAGAAGAGAGAGAGAGCGAGCACGTTCGAGCTGCTTGTTGTGGGGCAGATATTGTACAGAGTGCTCAGAGTTTGAGCGCCGGGTAGTATGAGAGAGTTCTGATTGGCTAAAAAGGATACAGCTGTCAACTGCTGTGCTTTTCCAGTGTTTTTCCAGCACAGAGAGAAAGAGAAAGCACAGGTGAGGGAGATAGATGGGGACTGAGAGAGATAGAGAGCAATGACAAGAAGGTGAGTGGGTTAGCTGAGTATGTTGCTGAATGTGCAGGTGTGTGTACGCTGAGTGCATCAGCAGTATTGCTATGTAACAGGAATATAGCTGGACTCCAATGTTTCCATACAGTTTTAGTGTCCTATAGACAACAAACACATTTAATATACACACAAACACATCACATTATGATTCATTTGCATCCAGGCACCCACTTATGCAGTCATGCATCACTAACCAGTTCATAAAGTCACACACAACCAAAGGTATTATTTGGATCACACGTGCAGTTTAACTTCCAGTCTTTGCCTAACTCAAGGAAGAGCTATGAATGAAAAATAAATGAATTTATATAATTACTCATTAAACCCATGCCTGCAAGTTAAACTTCATAGTAAACTGGGTCAGATCTTACAGTAGAGGGGAGCTAGAGATGAACAGTGTTGGGGGTAATATATTACAAGTAACGCAAGTTACGTAATCAGATTACTTTTTTCAAGTAACTAGTAAAGTAACGCATTACTTTTTAATTTACAAGAGAATATCTGAGTTACTTTTTCAAATAAGTAACGCAAGTTACTTTTTTTTTCAATTTATTGATTGACAGCTCTCCTGTCCCCATATTGAGAGAAATCAGAAGATGTTACTGTAGTTCTAAAATAAATATGAATATGCATTAATTCATCTCACTAACAAACAAAAAAACACAGATTCAGTGTTCCTCAAAATGAATAAAAATAATGCAACACAGAATATGACGCAAACCTGCAATAATTAATTTTTTATTTTAAAAACAAACAAGCAAGCCCTGTCCAGATTTAAAAAGTAGCGCAAAAGTAACGTAACGCATTACTTTCCATAAAAAGTAACTAAGTAACGTAATTAGTTACTTTTTTTATGGAGTAATGCAATATTGTAATGCATTACTTTTAAAAGTAACTTTCCCCAACACTGGAGATGAATATGGAGCTATACAGAGTGTCATAGATGTATACGGCTTATATTATAATATATGACTCAAACTTTTTATGTACACCAACTTAAACTGCATTACATTGATGCTTTACCAACAGAGATATGATACCTGGCAGAGAAAACAGAGAAACTGATCAATGACTCAAAAACACAGAACCAATACACTGATGGATAGAGATTCTGATGAAAGTTTTGGCAGAACATATTCATACAAACTTGCCAATAAAAATTGTATATAGATAAACATCTGATTTCATCATTCCTTTGCAAACAATTTCTTGGAGTCGAGCTTCTGCTTACTATATATCAGGGGTAGCCAATCCTACTACTGGAAGTTTCTAGTGATCCTGAAGACCTTGATTTAGCTGTTTCAGGTGTGTTTAATTGGGACTAGAGCTAAACTCTGCTGGAAGGTGGCTTTCAGAAGCAGGATTAGACAAACCATTGGCTTTGACATTTCTGTATGTGGCTTTAACAGCTCAGCCACATCAGTATGAGGATGCTTCAACTGAATGGTTATACCTGGCAAGATATACCAGGACAGCTCTCTTGTTCAGGGGCTTGTACCATGATGGTGGCTGAACAAACTCAGGGTTACAGGATTAGTTTTGAACCGACAAAACCAAACCAATCCAATCTGGCTTTGTTGGAACCATGACACTGATCATCAGTTTTTTTCTGTCAACTCAGGCTTTCATCCTGAGTTTATGAAGCACATACACATGAAAGTGTGACATCAGTAATGAACAGCCAATCACATGCCTTGAAACTGTGATTCACTTCTCGTGACAGAGTCAGTGCGATTCATTGCCAAAGATTAAAACATTGAAAAATATGAAGAATTTAAACAAATTTGCACAGCCTTAGCAAATGTGTTTAGCTGTGGAGCATAAGTTATTATGGCGATGAACATCACTTAAAGCCACTTTCATGGTGCTAAAACCCAGAGTTGGCACAAACTAAAATGAAGTGTATAGCGCTAGTTCTGGCAGGTCTCGTGAGTCAAGCTTGCATCAGCTGACTCTCAGCTGATCCACATCTACCTGTAGGAATACGACGCCTATCACGGCATTCCTATATAAGGTCTATTCAGAATAATTCAGCAGCTTTATCGCTTGCTCAGGAGCAAATTAGATGGTGAATTCCGTCTCTATAGGAAGCGTATAATCAGGAATTTTGCAAGAGGTGTTAGTTTCCCACACAGTTTCTCATTAGATTCAAGTTTGTAAACTTGAATGCAAATTCACCACGTTGATTGATATGAGCTACAAGGAAATGACCTGAGCAAGCACCTCTTCTTGCAATACATCATTGACATGGACTCTTTGCCCGCAAATCATCGCTGAAATTGTGCTAATGTGACTGCATCAACAACACTTTGCACGAGATCTGCCTTCCCCACTGGAAGTAAGATATCAAGAAGGGGATCAAGCATCCACGTATTATTACACCCTTTATTTATCGCTCAATGTCTTCACGAAGCTAAGCTAAGTTTCTTTTTTTATTCTCATTGCTAATGCTATATTGGAAAAAATGATATATTGGCAAATATTGCTCGTTGTTTAAGGCTAGTTGTTCAGTAACATGTTTGTTGCTAGGCATACTGTTGCTTTAGGCTTATTGGTTGTATTTCGACATGCTGGTACCTAGTTAAACTTACCACAGAAAAATGCTTGTTTTTAAAGCTGTTTAATTCTATCTGATATGACACAGGCTTGCTGCTTAAGGCTCATCTAGTATTGGGAATGTAGTTTTTTTAAACTTTTCCAACTATTATTGCCAACATTCTGTTTAAGTCAGCGACATGCTTGCTTAAGCAGTTAGACATTTCTGTAATTTCTACAGTTATTTACTGTATATCACCCAGTATAATACTACAAATTCGCTTTACAGTAAGTAACTGTAATACACTTTGCATCATGGGAATTTTCTGTGACGTCAAACCCCACATACAGTGACTTACAGTATTTTTTAAAATGGCTGTATACTACTGTATTTGCCGTAACGGTCTCTTTGGCGCCATTTTATTGAGGCTGCTTTATTTTCCTCATTTCTCACAGTTGGATTGACAAGATTTGACTTACACCGTGTCTACAACGCCGCAACAGCTTGGGACTGACTACACTGGATGTTACATCGCTTGTAATGATTGGAAAACCAGCGCGGTAGCGCCGCGGGTTTTGCCCGGGGATGAACCCGCGAGAGTGGAAGAGTTCCGGAGAACATCTGCGCTGTGTGTCGATGCACCTTACGAGAGAATAAGACCAGTAAGCAAGGTAAAAAATATATGTACATTTGTCTGTCTGTTTGTGTCAACATTTTTGCACACCAGTTTAACCTAGTAACATTTACCCGTCAACATAGCGGTAACAAACTTTACTATGGTAAACTGCGCTGTCGTTTCAAACGACTTTTGTCAGCTTATTGAATTACCGAATTAAAATTACTTTTAACGAGCAACGCTTATCTTGTATTAACATTGTA